ATATTGCTCTATATTTCCTCTTTTCGCTAGAAAATTGCGTGGTTACTAAGTTTACGTGAAAAGTTTCACACTTCCAAACTTTCCGCAGTTACATGATCGCCTCTAGTTCACGTAAAATTTGTTACTTTTTACGCTTCCACCGAATCCACCCTAGAGGAAAATTACGAACGATATCCAAATATGTGTAACAGGCTTACCTTTTTATTACAGGCTTCGTTATCTTTTCATTTGATTACATCTTATATTATTAGATTGTGAATTTTTATGCACACACATATGACACATACAAATATATTTTTTAATATTATAAAAAATATTTCCTTTGATAAATGCACAATGCACATTAATGAGAGATGTTTTGGAAGATATATATATGTTAAACCATTACAAATTAATTTTTACTTTTATTTATCACGATAAATACATTTGTACAAAGCGATTAGGATTCCACAGATAAACTTTCTAAAAATGTAGAGACATCAAATGATTCCTTGAAAGAGGATAATTTTCTTGCAGTCGCTTGCTTGTTCAAGTCAGCGACGGCGAGTCTAAGTCTGTTTTTCAATTCTTTCGGGTTGTGTTTTTCGACAAAACACATAACGATTTCGTTTATTTCATCTTGAATAGCATGGCAAGTGACCGACTGGAATACCGATTTCAGATCATCCTTGGCTTTCTCTTTCAAATTTTTATCTCTACTGACTAAATTCAAGATAAAAAGACCGTTCTCTGTTAAACACGCCGCGACTGCTTTCAGTACTGACATTTCGAGAAATTGTTTCGGCGGACAACTCATTCCAATAGTAGTGTCTTTGCTATCAATATCAAAAAGTATCGCCTTATACTTCGTCTCGGATGCTGCAACGTTTTTAATATATCGAATTCCATCCGCGATCTCCACTTTCATTCGCTCATCAAGAACGAGATTGAAGTATTCGGTAGCCACCTTTAGCATTGCACTGTCAATTTCGACTGCAGTAATTTTTAACTGGAAAAAAAAATTCGATTTATATTAGAAAAAAGATTTAGGTATGTAATGTTCGACAACACAGTAATAATGAATGTTATCTGAAGATACATACTTTGGGAAAACATTGATGTAAGAACATGCAAAGACCACCACCTCCAAGTCCTACAATCATAATTTCTTCCTGTTCCTTCGTATCAATTACCGCATTTACGCCAGCGCTCATATGTATATGATGTTCACAAGCTAAGAATCCGGGATCGGCAATTTTCTTCGTTTTGCCACGTCTAGATTTTGCTAAAAATAATTATCATCACAATTATATAGATATTTATCAGTCACAATTGCGTGCGATCATTGTGTCATTATCATAGAATTTCCAAATTTATTACGAGTTAGTACCTTCCTTCAGTCTGGTTTCACTCTGAATGACATATGGATTGTTCAAGAACAAGAGTCGCCTGAACTCGTGGCCATCCTTCTCCACTTCTTCGATAACAAACGGCCCGCTGATATCGCTCTTTCCTTCGTAGCAAACGTTTCGAACGCCAACATCAGAACCCAAAGACAAGAAGGGAATATCATTCTTGCCGCACAAGCCAGCTGGTGCTAAATTCCGAACGCAATCTTCTAACTCTGCTTTCACAGTATCCCAACTTTCAAATTTGTGCTCTCTGCGTAAGGTGACAATGGCGAGTCTATCTCGCTGCGCGCTTTTCAGAACCTGCTGTCGTCCTTCTTTTGTACTGAACAACCAATCCGTTTCTCTGTTAAATCGAAAAAGAATGAAGCATATAGTCTTGTCATTTCTAGCAACTTGGTAGCGAGTTTCTATTTAACTATAGAAATCGAACGTACTTTCCTTGCGGGACAATGAAAGCCGCGTATGTCCTTGTCCGTGTGCGCGGTTGATCGAGAACGTAAACGGTGTATCGTGGATTCTTATCACCCGGACGATGTAAATCCAACGATACTTCTCCCACATCGGCGACGCTTCTCTTATAAAGACTATTGCACACCAATGCCGATTGTTGTACAGACAATATTACGGATACAATGTCATCCGTTGTAGACACTCGCTCAGGTGGACCATCGACCAGAGCTATCTCGAGAACCTATCGGGATTACAATCTAAAAAATAAGTTTCGACAAACTTGCTTACCCGGCTAAGTCTAAAGGCCTGAACACAATACGAAGGCACAGATAATAGGAACAGGAAATGAGACAGGCAGTAGAACCCCATTTTAACTTAATTGTGTATTAACCCGAAAACTGTGTATCAAACTGTGCAATAGAATATGAAATAGGCAATAGAAACAAAATTTTCCGACGCGTTGGATTTCTATTCTCTGTTGCCTGTATCTGAACAATCACAGTAATTCAATTTTATTATAAGTTGAAATGTAGTTATTATAGGCTTAACAGAGAAGCGTACTATAAGCGAAAGTATATATGTATAACCTGTTATGACGATTGTGGCAGAGAAATGTACAATGATCTAATGAACCTGAATGAGTCAGATTCAAGTTCAAATCCGACCAAAAATTGTCAGTTTTTATTCAATCACCACCTCTGGGAAGGTGATGGCACCTACAGTATATTGCCACATGAACCTCTCTGTATTTAAAGAGAAAACTGGTCTCCAACCTCAAGTTGGGAGTTGGACAGTGGGGCTGCTGTGGGAGTTGGGCAAAAAAGTCAGACTGTAAATTTTATTCTCCAATATTGTCCTTTAATTTTTCAGAAGTTCGATACTTATGAAAAATTGGGCTTGTTCGAAGCCTAGCAATATGGGACAAATCCAAGATTGACGAAAAATTTTAAAACTGTATTAGAGAATAAAATTGACTGTCTGACTTTTTGCCCATTTCCTCTTTAAAAACAGAGTAATTCACGTGGCAATATATTTTCAGTAGATTGTCATCACCTTCCGAAAGGTGATCGAATAAAAATGACAATTTTTCATCAGAATAACCACATTTCAACTTATAATAAAACTGAATTACTGTAATTGTTCAGATACAGGCAACAGAGAATAGAAATTCAACGTGTCGAAAATTCTGTTCCTATTGCTTATTTCATATTCCATTGCATTAATACAATTTTTGGTAAGTTGAAATGAGATTATTTCTGTTGCCTGTTTTATTCCCTGTTCCCATTGCCTGTATCTTTGTATTGTGTTCAGGCTTTAAGATTACAACGGAAGAATTCTAGTCATCTCTTGCTGCAACGTACGGTCTGGGATAATTTGGTAAATTTGGTAGCAACAATCACGAAGACTGGGACTGAAGTGCCTTCCTCCACACGTGCTTTCGACTCGGCCTCGTGGCATCGTACTATGCGGAACATGAAACCCGAAGCAGGAAAGTACGACAAAAGCTTGCGCAGAATGTGCTCTTGTAGCAATGATATGCAAATGTACCTGCCTCCATTCCGTAACACTCGTGTGATTTCCTAAAATAAATTGTAGCTAATTCTAGTTTATTGAAAAGGAAACTTTTATAGTGACTTTTCTAGTAATCGGAAACTCACCTTGAAATATCTATCAATTATAGATATCGTTGTCTCTTTGGTATCTGGCATTAGAGCATCCAGCGTACCTTTGTCGAGAACCACACTAAATTTCTCATCAGGATATGTCATTTGCGTGGCATCCATATGTTCGTATATCAGATCCGGTCTCGTACCATTATTTATATCGCGCATTTGTTTTATGACAATATGTGATATATCGATATTAATGATATTTCTGTTAAGATCAATCTTGAGATTTATTTTTCCATAAGAATGTCGACTGTACGTTAGAAACTTAGCAAGCTATCTATCATGATAGCTCGTTGTGAAAGATATATACAAGTTATACCTGTAGCCAACGTCGTACAAAGACATGCTTAACGTAGAATTTCCACAACCAACGATCAGAATATCATCTTTCATCTTGATATATTTCACAAGTATTTCGCATAATTCTGGATATTCACCGTACCTGAAGTCAGACAGAATAGTGAACAGCAAGTTAACAAAAAAAAAAATGTTAATATAACTGTAGAATTTTTACCATTCGAACGCTTTCTTGCCACGCTTTTTAAAGAACGTGTTCCAGTATTCCGCGTGACTGAATTCCTCGTGTGTTTTCGGGAGGAGATTCATATTTTATAATTATAATATTCGTGAGACAAACACACAGGACAGGCTAGTTGGTTATTTTCTAAAAGACTCGATTTTAATGTTGCCTGTGAAAGAAAACTTGCTGCGGAATAAACCGTAAAATAAACTTGTAAACTCTGCTACACAAATTTAATATCATATCGTGTATATTTTTCCGTAAAGTTTTCGGCTTTTTGGAGAAAGAACAGTACACACGTGTATGTATACAACTTTTCAATCATGAAGAGCGACATTTGCGAGCACGAGGTATGCAACAGAATTGCTGGAACTACGTATTACCACAGCCTCGTCGGATAATATAGCAATTTATGTTTTCTGCTGAAAGTAAATTACCAAGTAATAAACATTTTTGTTCACGAATTGCTCGCATGATATCGTAGTATTTCTATTTTTGCTAGTATTTTCTAAAAATATTTTTTGTATTAATTTATTAATTTAGTAGAGGCTTTTTTGTGTATCAAAAATTAATTCTTTATAGGAAGCATAGCGTTACCATTGTTTATCGGCGAGTCTGTAAACAAATTTGTATTGTACTAACAAAGCTAGTCAGATGGCTCTGCCAATGCCGTTTTTTTTCTTCAATAAAAAATATTTTGTATTATTACAATATATGATACAATTAAAGCTTTTCGAAAACGTGTTAACAAGAATTAAGAAGAACATGAGCTGAAAGTACTTGACAAATCGATATGTTAATTGTAATATTTACATAATTTATTATAAAAAAAGAAATAATGAACTCCTGATTTTCGGAATTAAAACACTTGAAGTTTTTTTGGGGGGGAATTTTTCAAAGCTATTAACATTTTGAAAAACACGTGGGACTCGAAAGTGCATGGTTGGAGGAATAAAGGGGCGGAAAAAACGTTGGAGTGAATAGGGTTAATTATACATCGCCAATTTTCAAGGATTTGTATTTTTGCGATCCAAACTTAAAATTCTAGGAATTTTAATTTAGGATTCGAAATCGTGTTTCTTGAAATTCTTGGAATTTTAAACAGTGCGACCTAGCTCCTTCTAATTATTTATATTTTCCTGTTAATTTTTAAGATTTTTTAATTTTTATTTCGTGATTTGAAATCTCTAATTCTTGGAACTGCAATTCTTGGAAATCCTGGAAAATTCGTAGAATTTTATATAATGTAACTTTCTTGCCAATTATAT